TCATATACTATAACTATTACTTATAGTGAATAAGTATTTTGTATGGAAGTCAATATACTACTTTTTTAAATTAACTATTTTTCTGACAAATTATATCACAATTTTCGCTACTTTTTCAGGCAACAAACATCTGACATTCTTTAAAACCATTGTTTAAACCTAATAAAAATTCATCTTTGCCCTAATATTGAGAAGTAAAAATGTATTTGTTTGGGCTTTAAAATCACCAGAGCGAATTTTGAAGATTCTCGTCATGGCCATGCGTGTTACGCCAATTGAATAGCTGGTATCAATCGTAATAATCAATGGTATTAACTTGCACGAAATAAGTGTATTTAAATCTGGAAAAAGAATTTAAAAGTCGCATTAAAGGGACTTAACTGAGATATTTTTTACATGACGAAAGTGGAGATATTTCTTTCGAGATTAATGTGCCATTCGATGGGGCTTATATAAGTAATGTGTGCGCAAAATTTTTAGATCATTCGCTAACTCCGTTGTTCCAGAATAATAATTGTATTTTGTAATTACATAGATTATATTATTACATTATCCTAGATTGAAAAGCGTTTCAACACTTTTCACACTCAAAATCGGACAAAGAAAAGCTAAAATAAATACGATTCTTAATATTTTTCTGAGTACATTTATATTTTTTGCATATCTCTCTGTTTAAAGTATCCCGTTTGATCTATGTAAGAAATCCAAATTTAATATTGTAAGGCATTTGGATCTCCGTGGAGTTCCTTTTACTAATTACCGAGTATTGATCTAATTTCTTAGCCGTAAATTGTTTAACGACTGCATTATATTAAAGAGGACACCACTTATGTTTTCGACAGATGGGACTGAAAATATTTGTTCAAGATTTGTGTCTGGATCAATAACTTATGTGCAAAGTTTAACGTCATTCTCTTATCCTGTGTGTTCGGAATAATCAATTTTGTTGTGTTAAATGACCAAAAAATGAAAAGCATTAGAATGCTCGTCACTCAAAGCCGGCAAAAAATATCGATTTGTCGATTAAATGCTGATTTTTCTTTATTATTGTTTTGCAGATTTTTCCACTATAAGTGCACCACTTAATCATTTTCATATTTTATGTTTTTAGGCCTTTGGACATCAGTGGAGTTACTTTAAGTATGGATCCTGTATCAATTGCACCTTCTCCAATCCCCCGGGGATGATCGCGGGGAAAAACAGGCAGGGAATAAAATTTCAAGTCCCGAAATATTGGTTTTACCTTTGGCAACTGGAGGGGTGGGCTAAAAAAAGGCCCCTTTTTTTAAGATCGTCGGGAAAGCTATGCCTGGGGTTTGCGCTCCTCCCCGCGCAAACGCTAATTACCCTTTAAGCTGCGTCCACTTCTCCCCCAGAGCCCCGGGCCACCCCGGGAAATTACCGGGATTTCCCCGGGTGAAATTATTGTTGCGGTCACACTTACCCCGGCAGCACTACGGTAATTCCCCACTAACCACCCAGGATGCGCCCCGGACCATCCAGTCAGAGCAAAGATGATGCATCGTCATTTTCCGGGGCTATGTCTGCATTATCCGGGGCTATGCCGGGATGTAAGTGAGACTGTAGCTTTAGGTTAAAACTTTGTGTTTTATATTGCTGTAAAGGACAACCACAAAAGCGCGATGGTGAAAGGTCGGTAGTTCGATGGTGAAAACACGAAATTATAGTTTGTTTTCACTACCATGGTTTCGTAATTTTGACATTTCACCATCGTATTTTCGTGTCGTCGTTGTTTCAAGTTGTGTGTGTGGTGACGGGACACCGTAAAACAGCGTTTCCGGTAGCTTTGTATTCACTTGTGACTTAAAAAAAGGAGGTTGCTACAAAACTAATACCAAACTTCGGCAAAATTTTGCATAAATCTAAACGTATGACTGACACTTTGTTTAGCAAATAATCGTACTACAGAAAAATTATAACATAAATACAGTGGCACAAAGGTGACATGTGTGTGTGTGTTTTTATTTATCTCGTGCGCACGAGATACTATATCGTGGCTACGAGTTACTAAAATAGAGAGTAAAGAATCCCTAAAGAAAGCCCAACACGGCAAAATTGAAAATGTTGCAGGCTCGGTTTGATTGAGCCTGTTCATGGACGGTACTGTCAAGTGCAAACTACCGTCCACGACCCCTAGCACCGGCTTAAGCAGCATTCAACATTTAAAATGAACTGCCAACTGGTAAAATTTAGAATTTTAAAACATCCGCAGATGTGTCGATAGTTAATAGATACGACTTTATTATCTCGTGCCCACAACTTAGTAACTCGTAGCCACGACATAGTATCTCGTGCCCACGACTTAACTATCTCGTGACAACGGCATAGTAACTCGTGGCCACGACATAGTGTCTCGTTCGCACGACTTAACTACCTCGTTTCCACAACTTAGTAACTCGTGGCAACGACTTAGTAACTCATGGCCACGACATAGTATCTCTTGCAAACGAGATAAATAAAACACACACATGTCACTTTTGTGCCACGGTACATAAAAGACATAAGGCGGTTTCTGAAGAGTTGTGCATCTTGCATATTCATTTATTTTCAGCTAGAATTTGAGTGGTTGTTGCTCTCAGATTGTACTAAATTGTATTTTGAGCAAGAAATGCACAGTTACTTTTTCAATTGCTGTCATATATCCTTGGTAACTGCATAGCAGTAAGTTTTTCGCATGTGCATAAAATCATTAGTTGTATGGATATGTGTTTTACGGCCTCTCGAATGTAAAAGTTGCTCATATACCGGCCTTTAGAGGCTTATAACAAACAATACATGAGCCGCGTCATGACAAAACCAAAATAATGAGTTTGCGACCAGCATGGATCCAGACTAGCCTGCGCATCAGCGCAGTCTGATCAGGATCCATGCTGTTCGCTATCAGTTTCTCTACTTGTTATAGGGTCTGTAAGCGAACACCATGGATCCTGATCAGACTGCGCGGATGCGCAGGCTGGTTTGGATCCATGCTGGTCGCAAACCCACTATGTTGGTTTTGTCGTGACGCGGCTCACATCATTTACGGATGCTATTTTTACCAATGTAACAGCTGTTTTACTATGACATATACTGGGAATTGGCCTTTCGTGTCAGTTTTTAGCATCGCATACACTAGTCCAGCATTATTAAATGTATTATAAGCTTAATATATTCACCCAATTTTAATAAAAGAAATATTGTTTACTTTTTTTGTTAAATAATATCGTGTACAATACTCATAATTTAACTTATACAATTCTTGCTATACTGTAAGTATGTCATTAACATCATCATCCTGATATATTTATTGTTGTTTTTGTTTTTTTGTTTTTTTTTGCAAATGTATTTATTATCAAAAATATATACCATTGTTATGTTTCGGGAATCCTAGGCCAAGTGATTAAGATGTTGAATTCTAACCACTTGCCACTCACCGCTGTTGGTTCGTCTTTGCATTATTTCGTGTGCGGAAGCTATCAAGCTAGCTTACAGAATGTCGTTGGTTCTTCTCAGGTGCCCGTTCTCGCCTAAATTAATTCACTGAAGGGCAACTAAGGTCTTCATCCACCTGCTGGAAAGTTGCCATATGACCACTACTGTGTTTTTGCAATCCAGCTCACTCTAAGCCGCCAATATTGATACTTGCTGAGCCGATAAACATGTAGAATAATTAGACTTTAAAACTGACAATAAATAGTCTCCTTCGAATGAATTAAATTGATAGGTATTATAAAAAAGAAGATATCGAAGGGGATTCTAACGATAAATCTAATATGGAATCTATATGAATTCAATATTCTGTATTTCACGTGTCTTGAAAAAAAGAGGATATTAACACATATCAGGTTAGTTTATATTAATTTATTTTAGTCTGATTGTGTTGAAAGCTATAAGCTTATTGAAACACTTTTGAATCCGTTCATGAAACCAACCAGAGTAAAGTTTCGTGCTCATGGAAACAAAGGCTTGTCCCGGACGTGGTTTGAAGCCTCGCGGTCAGCTATCCTTTGATTACTTGACCGACGCGTTAACCATTTGGCCACGCCGCCAATCTATATAACATATCCGCAACTTTTAATAACATATCGGATCGGCTTTGCTTCTGGGTGTCCTGCTTGGGTGTTTCCGGGGGCGGCGTCCTGTGAACGTTGCCTTTGCCTTGTTGATCTTTATTCTTGTTATTTTTTGCTTTTTTACTCTGGCCATTTTACGCAAATTTCATTAAATTTGTTGATATATCTTGGGTGGTCGGTCTACCTTCCCGACTCTCCTTGATAACTACTACAGTAGTAATTATCCATCATGTCTTCGTTAGTAACCAAGGACTAATCCCATATGATTTCTGAGTCAGAGTTGAGCCAACGCAATGTATGATATTAATTGTCACGGGGTAATTACGACTCGCCCAATGTTCAAATCAGAGCGACCCTTTGCATTACACATCCGTTGATCACGTATTTAGTTAAGCGGTAAGCATCAGAACTGATAAAACACAACTTCATTTAAGCAGCTGACATACCTTTACATACAAAGGCGATAAGTAAAGTCTTCTTAGGACTATGTACAATGACAAGCTTGAAAGGGACACTGTCGCTTGACTATGGTGGCTGTTTTATGCCATGTCGTGAACACATTGTTATATTTTCATGATTTTGTGATTTTCTCACGTAGGGTGAAAGCAAGAAATAACGACAAAGTGATCATTTTGTCGTATTCTAGTGTTTTTTTTTTTTGTTTTTTTGTTTTTTTTTTGTTTTTCTAATGGCGCAACACGAAGCGAAAATAGGGCGTGACACAAATCAGCCACCATAACAGACAATAAATCTCATGAATGGGCGATACACACATTACAGCATGATATACAGGAAGACACGCCATGACGCACCTTGGTATATATAGACAAACAGATAATTTCAGAAGCATAAGACATTCTGCTTTGTCGTGTATACTCAAATCGTTTTGAGAAATAGACGATAGGGGTAAAGAAAGTGAAAAAACAATTCTTTATCAAAAATTTATCTTACAAGTTATTTACAGCGCAAAAAATATATCAATATAAAGGTTTTTTATTTATAATTCTATCATCAGGGTCCATAGCCCACGGAATAGTTCAAAGCTATCGCAGGCGATTAAAGCAAAAACAAACGTTGCCACTCCTCAACGTATCACGTGACTACCAAACGGCGCACTTCTTTGCCGGGTTCATGTACGACCCAACAGGACAGTTCCATGCCTTTGAGAATTCGTCAAAGTTTTGCATCGGTCCGTATACTCTATAAAAAAGAAACAATGAAATTAAAAAAATTTAAAGTTTACACATTCAAAACAATTTTGCACGAATTAGTAAAAAATGTACATAACTAATAACGTATAACTATCATTTGTTTAAGTTTACTTTGAATACAGTGTAATGCAAGTATGCCTTACAAAACATATTATGTAACAAAAAGTTTCGATAATGATGTTTAGATGATGATTTCGATTCCTACAGATATTTTACTTAAAATAAAAGCAACAGCAACAATAATAATAAAGGAAGAATAATTTTACTTTAAGTTCATCGGATAGTAGGTATTCTTAATTTTTGCATAACATACATGTATAATGTTATCAAACGAATCAAAAGTGTTTGATTATCATGGTCAGTTTGTTTGGAATATTATATAACAGAGAGAATAAGTTCTGAAAGAAAGATACCGTATAATAGATCATGCTGCTAAAAAACCACAACCTTAAATTATCATAAGAATATAAATTATAGTACATGTATGAGTTAATTGCACATTTTTCCAACCTATATTTTATTATATATTTTAAATATTTTGTTATAATATTTCTTCTATATGTACACATTAAAGGCTTATACAGTTACATACTTAAGACTTTGATATTTTCTATAAAATATTGTTGCCACAAAACCAGAATAAACACATGGACCCGACTTGTCAATCGAATGACGGTGATTATAGTGATTGTTCAAAACACATCAACAACATAACATAGAATGAAAAAAATATGTATAATAAATGTAATGAACAAAAAACTCCATAAAAGGTCCAAAACGAATAATGCAGGCTTTGGCTCGGTTTGAAAGGCCATGCTACCGTCAACCCACCCACCCCCCTAACACACACACACACACACCAGAACTGGCAAAGAAAACACTAAAATAAACATTGAAACACTTACATGAAATATTGGTAGTAAAATGATCTTTTGGTTTAATTTCATATCTGTTTATAAAGGGCGTAGCCGGGAAATGTAACAACACTATCAATTATTAACAATTTTATAATAAGTTAGATAATTTCACATTTCGCTTTGTAAGACATACTGACCCTCGGTGGCAATGTGACCTTCACGAGACAATAATCAAAGCACAGAAGGCGCTGAATTTGTTTGGGTCTCAGAATGTTAGAAAGGTGCAGGTTGTGAGATTACATGTTTAGTGCCACCAATGCTTTCCAGCGTTTTAATTGTAGTAAATTGGCTATTAGACTAATTGCAACACTGATATTCAATCCAATGTTTATTTGACTTTAACAATTTAAAAAAATGAGTAACCTTTACTGGGATTTGAACTCCAGACCTCTCGCTTCCTAAGCGAGCCCGAAAACCCTTCAGCCACGGTGAATTTATATGTGAACGGCCTGAAGAAAACCATATTATTCTAAATTAGGGCTTGTAACGACTTTAACTGTTGTTTAACACAGATGTAAATAATCCTGGAGCTTACTATAAGCATGTATATTTATAAAGAATCAAACGGCTGCAAGTTCTGTGGTATTTTCTGATCTTTGCAATCGTACTGTATATCTGTATGCATTTTCCTGTATAAGTTTATTTTTATGTATTATAATTCCTTTTGTAAGGCACCAGAGTTTGATACATCCGTAATTCTGCATAACTAGAGTTGCATCAAAAAATCATTTATGTCCTTTTTTTACGACAGCCACACTTTATCTTTGTATATCATGGCTACTTCCTTAACAAAAACACTTAAAAAAAGAATTTAACAAAAAAAAAAGTTTTCTCGACTTGGATACGAACTCGAGACCTCTCACTCACGAGGCGAGCGCGTTACCCTTGTACCACGGAAAAATTATACACAGAGTGTCTGAATAATATCAAATCATTCTAAATTTGGAACTTCCATTGCAGTTCGGGTTTGTAATCCTTATTAATTTCGAGGTATTTTGTTTAGGCTAAACCTGTTGTTTATAATTGAAGTAGATATTTTAGCAAAAATCCTCTTGCCCAAACGGTCCGGCATGTAGAATCTATATATTCCACTACTCGGTTTGTGTAGTATTCGGTAATCAACATGGCTAAAAATAGTATTTTCATTGATAAAATCATATTCATCCGCGTAATTTGTGATTGTGCATTTATTGACAATTCTATAAGCCAACGCTATTGTTTAACTTTAAATGCGTTGTAATTTGTTGGATACTTGTAACAAAATAAAATATTTCTTTCTTTTAAATCGCTAGTTTTTAGCTGTTTTGAGAACTACTTGTTGTTAGGTTTGTAGTAAACTTCTGTGTCAGAGATTGAATGTCCGCTTTGTATTTAGTTATTTTCGATCAGAAAATACAATAAAACAATATTAGAAATCTTTGACCATTCGGGAATTACTTTGCTTGAAAATTGATGCGCCTGTCTTTGACCATCTTTACGCAGTGATCTCCCCTGAATTTTTCGGCTTTAGTGTACATACAAAAGGGAAGTAACCGCTCCAAAAAATTGGACTACTTTCGGCATTTGCAATTAGCAACATTAGACTCTGAACTTTCGCTACCATTATTTGTTTGGTCTGACGACCCAAACAAATAAAAACAACACAAAAGCAAAAAAGAACAAAAAAGCCAATATTAGTTAATGTATTGATAAGGTTATAATAAGGCTAGGAAATCGCTATGGTATGCTCTAAGCATAACGCTGACACTTATTTTAAATGATTTAACCCATTTTCGCTTTTAGTTTATATTTCAAGCAGCATATATTTGCATTAGGTGATTGTAATAAAAGCTTAGTTACATAATTATACAAATAAAGTGTTCTTACCAATTTCTTGTTACGTGTATACATGTATTCTCTTATGGCCGAAAACAAGACTTATTGGACATATAATAGGTTACCTAGGTTACCCGTACCCTATACAAAATTGACCAAACATGTACATTATGATACTTACATATCACTTTCAATGATGCACGCGCATGCTATAAATCAAGCACACTCATGCACTATATTTAAGCCGCGTCACGACAAAACCAATATAGTGCGTTTGCGACCAGCATGGATCCAGACCAGCCTGCGTATCCGCGCAGTCTGATCAGGATCCATGCTGTTCGCTATCAGTTTCTCTACTTGCTATAGTGTTTGTAAGCGAACAGCATGGATCCTGATCAGACTGCGCGGATGCGCAGGCTGGTCTGGACCCATGTTGGTCGCAAACCTATTATGTTGGTTTTGTCGTGACGCGGCTCAAATATCCTTAAATACTTCTTGTTTAAGCACATGCTACCCCCGTCAACTTGTACCTGTATTTTGTTATACTATGTCTTGATGTATAAATAGACAATATTTTATCTTCATTTCTAGATTCATCACACCAAATCTGTAAATTCAATATTTTTTTCAAAAAGAATTATCTTATTTTGTTTTGTAGGTCATTTGCTCATTAAATACGAATGACTTTAAAGTGAATTGGTCTATAATGGAAGATCTGTAGAACCGTAAATGATTATGTTGATAGCATTTAGTAAATCCCACAGACCCTTGGGTGTGGAGCTCAAAACACCTTTAAAATCCAAATAAATATATATTTGACAATCCCAGCACATGCACTTATCAAAAATAATAATAATAATAATTAATGTTTTGAAAACGAAAAAAGAATCATATTTCAACGTTTATAATACACATGTACTACACAAGATAAAAATGTTCGCCGGAAAAATCTGCACACCTACTGTCAAAATCACCATATATTTTATTCCATTTTCAATATTTTCATTGACATAGAAGATATTTTTCTCACAATAAACAACACAACAGGCGAAATAACCATCAAAATTATCGCCGTTTTACTCCATTTACAAAATCTTTCGACCTATTCAAACGTGGCCTTTTCAAATGCGCCGCGCTTTGAATATGGGAACCAACATACATATGTATTACCATACAAAGCTCGGCGCATTAGGATACAGCAAAGCTGGGAGCCATATTTGAATTTGTCGTAAGATTTTGTATGGATTTTAAGGTGTTTTGAATCCACACCCCAAGTATCTGTGAATAAACCAGAGCTACATATGTAGCTTTAGGTGGCGCGATAGCTCAGTTGGTTAGACCACCGACTGTCACTCCTGAGGTTCCGGGTTCGATCCTGGGTAACTTTCAGTGTTTTCCACCTACCTAGAGGTTAACTGGTAAGAAACCCAGGTAATCCCCGCATGTATCAGTGCTATACACTGGGCATGTAAAAGAACTAAGGGATCTTTTCAATAAGAGCTAGGGACTTGTTCCCGGACTACCTTGTATCTCATAGCTGTCTCTAGAGTCTGCTTAGGTAAGGACCCTACTGGAAATAAGTGCTTGCACTTTCGTAGGTTATCCTTGACCGCCCGGTCTAAAGAAAATCAATCAATCATTAAATAAAATATGTAATCATATTCTTTCCGTCTGCTTGAAACCCAAGAATTATATAGTTAACAATTTTAACAGTATTGTAAATCTCATAAAAAATGTTCATAAGTTTTGATATTAAAATGAAAACCCCGCAGTAATACTAAAGTTTATATACGAGTTTTAACATGAAAATGAAAACTAGTATAATTAGCTCCTGTATGCACAATGGTAAAATCAATTGTAACCATGTGGATCACAGCAAATATGAGATATTCTTGTGCAAACAAACTTTTACCGTTTTAGTTTCACGGTGTATTTGCCCTGCCGTTTACAAAAAAGTAATCATCTCATAAAAAATATTGAATTTGTATGAAAAGATCTGTAATACAATGCGGAGTTATGCCCGTTTAATTCGGACTGCTACTTGAAAATGTTTGTTGATTTTGTATTGACACGATATATAACGTTTACATTAACCTGTCGTACCATTATGATAATTTTAATAGGTTGTTCAAGTTCTTCAATTATACACTTTATTACATTTTGCATTTTCATTGAAAATAAAGAAGAATAAAAGAGGACAAAGAAACGTGAATGCGGGTAGCTTAGTGGTTAGAGAGTTCAGGTTATGAACGTGGCTTTTTTTTAGTTCAATCTGCAATTGTGCACATTTCCATGATACATTTTTATATTGTGTCATGTAACTTTTCATTTTTTTTTCTTTTATGGCGTTTGCACAATTTAAAGTTAAACTTATGACGGTTAAGCAAAATTGAATGTATTTGATTTTTAATTGTCATTGAACAGATTAAATAGTATTATCAATTTTATACTGTTGGAAACCCTGAATTCTATTCAACACATTTTTAACAATTTTAGTCATTTGTATAATATATTTTTCTTCCATTGGTCATTTATCGCCCTAATCTGCAGGACTGTATTGTCTTATACTAAACATGTTAAATGCGAATGTGAGTACAACTACATGTTTTCAAATAACATTGTGTGAATGAAATTCACAGGCAACTAAATCCAGTACTTTGTAAAAAAAAAATAAAAAAGAACTTAAAACAAAAAATAAAAAAATAAAATAAAAAATACCTTTACCAGGATTCGAACCAGGGTCTCCACACTATTAGAGCGGACACTCTACCCCTACACTAGTATGCTAAACTCATTACAAATGAGTGATTGATTAGGTGGTTAAAGATTTAGGCGATAAGTAGTATGACTTTATACGGATGGCCCAAAGGCGGAGTTTCTCATGCAAATAGAAATCGTACACCGACATCGCCACAATGAGGTTGTAAAATTTTGGGGTTATAAAACTCATTTTGCTTGCTTAGACACCAAAATAAGAACGGGAGTCGATATGAAACATACAGTCGAGACTGCCTTAGCGACCCCCTGGTTTAAACGACTCCCTGTCTTATCCGACCTTGTTTCAGTACTCCCAACGTATTTTCCTATATAAATGGTCTGAATTAAACGACTCCCTGTCATATGTGACAAGCGACCTTAATTGTCTGGTCCCAATGCAATGTTTTGTCTGATTTAAACGACTTTCACACCTTTTTATTATCCGTTAATCAGAAAAAGAATACATATTTTAACACCCAGAGGGCCAAAATAATTAAGTCCAATTATAATCCAGCACTGTAGCAAACAAAGTCTACACACATCTATCTCAATTACACAATTAGCGTGTATATACCGGTAGATACATGCAGGTACCAAGTGACGTAGCGTCTGTTCATGGAAAGCATGATGTAATCGATGTGTGTGTGTAATGTACAAAATGGCCTGAGTACTTGTGTTAGATTTTTTTTTAATTATAGAGTGCCCACGGAAGATTTTTTAGGCAGCATTTTTTTAATTTACCTTTCTATGGCTGCATAATTAATACGGAAAAAATATTGATACCGAACCAGAAAAAGCTTTGGATATGGACAATTGTTTAAAGATCCTGTAACACAATTTTTTCATGGTTTTATTTCATAAATATGATGCTCAAATTAAGATTTGTCAATATTGTAATTTCAAATAAGCATTATTTATAAAGATATCACCCAATTTAACATTTCATGTAAATAAAGGCCATTAAAGGGAGGTAATTAGAACTTTATTTTCTATTAATTCTAAGTCAAATTTTCCAATAAGAAATCAATGCATGTAATTTATTCATTAAATATAATGTGAACAAATATTTGCAGTACACATTTTACATATTCTTTGATGTTTGAAAATTGTTTTATTTGCATAATTATATCCATATATATTTTTTGGCAAGATCCGTAAACACAGTAACAATATCAATCACAAAACATACAGGATCTGTAAGTCACATTGGTATATAGACAGATAGATGATATTTAAATTTAATTTTCTTTGAGACTGTATTTAGAGACTCCCTGTCATATGCGACCTTTTTCTGAAGATCCCTTGGAAAGTCACATATGACAGTCTCGACTGTATTTGATTAACGAAATGTAGCTATTTCCTTTTTCATGAAATTTATTTATGCAGCTTTAAGGTTTAATATGACATATCATTATAGAACAAATAATAAAGTGTTCTAGAGCAAAATAGCATCCTTCATCATAAAAAAAATATTCATACTAAATCGCTTTAAAACTTCATCATAAAATTTCATCAGAATATTCAAATGATCACTTCTATTGTTTTAAATAATTGAAATACTTATGAAAAATGTCCTCATTGTAGACCAATCCACTTTAAAAATAATTTACATGTGTCCGTATATACCACATTTTGTGTACTTATAATGATCTATACGTCTAGTATAGGCAGTGAAGGCAAAATATCCTTCTTATAAAGATCATAGCTTTAAGAGCATATCTGTGTCACAACGTCGCTTAAAGTCGCGACGTTGCGACTTGTAACGGCGTCACACATATCCTGCCGGTTACATTCAATGTAACCCCATCAGAACAGTTGTTTGAAGAGGAGTCACATCTTTACAAAAATATAAATGTATAAGTTCTTCCCAAAGAAATATTTCAAGATAAATTTCACATGTCTTAAGCAACATTCTTTACCAAAACTAAAAGCTTTGTCTTTCAAAACATTTTGAAAGTTTTGTTTGTACTGTACACCATACACTTTGACCGTACATGTACACATAGCCTTTAAGATAGATATGTTAACTAAGAAAAGGATAGCGAGTGGGTCAAAGTGTTTGGAATACTATTATGAACTAACTAAAATGCACCCTTTTTGTGTTTTCATCTTTCGTTTTGAAAGAAATCTTTCATCTTAATTTTTATGTAAAATATCAACCAAATTGATATCTCAATAAAGAGATGTCTGCAAATGTACATGATTCTAAATATAATATTATACATCACGTAACGACGAATATGTGATTTTAAACAATAATTATTGGCAAGATGGTTTGATATATTAATCAATGACAAACACACAAAGGTGACGTCACACGTTATCAGATAAAACAGTCGTCTAATGTGAGTGATGATTATTTAAAAAATCTTTGATTTTCTTTTTGTCATGTCAGTCTTTTGCCTTCATAACCAATAAAATCAATGACTTAAAAATAACAAAATACGAAACTAAAGAATACAAGAATAACATGCAATAGTAAAATATTTAAATCACTGACTATACAAATGTGCGAATATATCACGTGAAAGAGATCGTCATAGAACAAGAAAGAATTCATTACATATCACGAGTAAAGAAATCCTAGTCAACTACGAAATTATTATATCACGTGAAGGTGTACATTATGTCACCAGATTAAGAGATAATTAGCATCTTTATCATATAAATAATAAAGCAATGATATCATGAGAAAAATATCTTTAATTCTTGTGAAAAAACTTTAGTAAACTAAGGTAAGCCTTAGGGGAAAGGAATAAAATAATTGTGCAATATTTGTGCTTTGTGTCTGAAAAAAAGAAGAAAAAGAAGAAAAATGTCAAAATGCACTAGCAATTTAGCGCGATGTATTTTAAATATACAGTAAAACCCTCAATGAAGACCACCATCAGGACAGGATCAAAGCAGTCTTAATTGCGGGATGGTCTCAATTGTGGATATTATTATCATTGCTTACAAACAATTTGAATTTGAATATAAGGTTGTGCCCGTATACAAAGAATGCGACTTGGATATGGCGAACTAATACGTGCGAAGGTATTGACATATAAGTTGTTGAATTGTTGGTAACTCCTCGTGTTATTACAATATAGACAGATAAAAGTTGTATTAAATAAAGCTACACCAACTAAGGGAAACAGATACACAAAAGGAAGTAAAAGAAAATAGGTAAAAGAAAATGGAAATTTTGTTCCTCCTTTACTTCATAAGCATTAAGTTCGACCATGTATACGAGAGTGTATGCTATTTCAGCAAAAACAAAATGTAACTAGTATATCATTTTGTTTGCGTGTCAGAAAATAATCAATAATTTACATCCATATACTTTAAAAATAAATATATATTTAAAAAGTTTTTGAAATTTCCTAAATCTTTCCCAAAATATGTACTATGGGATTTAGGTTTTCAAAGTAATGCGCGCAGTACGTACGATTTGTTAACCCTTGCACGGTTGAAACCGGAAGTGTTGAAACAAGCTCTGCTAGGCCAGCCTGAACGTTTGTGTAATCTGCGTAGGTCACGACTACAATGTTAACAAACTTAATATTTTCATATTGATACCTCCAAATTGATAATGGATATTTCCAAATGTGAGAAGCTGGAAAAGTCCATTTATGAAATTCAAAGGCGGTTGATTCAACAAAGTAAAGGAGGAAGTTGTGAACAAGAGTATTAAAGGGAGGTAACACAAACTGGTTTTCTACAACACATGATTACCTGAACATATCTATACTATGGGGATCGGTCAATATTCGCTCAATTTTCGCTTGGTCTCTCATATTTTCACACCATACCTAATACAACATACATATTTAAGAGAAATATCGATGAAGAGGATTTTTTCTTACAACTTTTAAATAAAAATCGTAAATTACCGTGCAATCGTGCATGAGAATGATTTTTATACAATTTGCGCTTTGTCCGTTACAAACGGTTTTCATTAAACTCTAAAGTAAACAAAAATCCCTTGTCGACATAACGTCTATTAATTAACGTAATTATTTCTAAATCGAAAATGATTCAACTATTGGAATAAATTCTCTATTAAAAATCAAGATGATATTTTATGACTTCTATACGCAGAGCAAAAAAAATAAAATGCAAGTTTACATGTAATGTTGGCCTAAACGGACTGTTTATTTATTTCTCAGCCAAATTCGAGTTAAAAGCTTTATTTAAAACGTTTTTTTTTTTCTTCTTCTTCAAGTGAGCATTTTATCTAAAAAAATGTGTAAAAGCGTTATTAGGTCAAACATAAATCAAATGAAACACAATTCAAGAAAGAAATTCTGTCCCTTGATTTAAAATCAAACAAACTAGTGGAATACCTTTAATACAATTATTTGGATCATAGAAATCCTTTCAATTGACGAAAACCAGATTTTAATTATTATAAAAACTGTAAAACTTACTAAAAAGTAGATTCAACAACAAATTAAAATTTTTACCTGTGCTGCATTTAAGAAGTAAAGTTGACTAGATGTATAGTTCATTCCAGGTAACATATCCTCTTCTTTTCCATTACGACTTGCTTTAATCCACTCACGATATGCCTGTAGGCAAACAAAACATATATGTACTATGTTAAGTTAGTATTGTGACGTCAAACTATCTTAGTGTAACGTAACGTCATACTATTTTAGTGGTATCACGTTTTACTATATTAGTGACATGACGTCATATTGTCTTAGTGTTATGAAATTGATATATCTTAGTGTTATGACGTCATGAATTCTATCTTAGTGTTATGACCTCACACTATTTTTAGCTATATATAACGCAGAAACGAATGAGTTTCTACTTCATTAGAAAGGGAATCATGGATTTTATAATATTTTAAAAAATTTAGAGCATGTAAGATGATTGTTACCAGCAGAAAGCAGCGCTAAAACATGTGAAATAATTTGTAGAAAAATATAAACAGAATAGAATTTTGACTTACTTACGAAATACATATAATAAGTCACTATTATTGTCATACAGCAGAAGAAAAAGATGATTCAGGTAATTGGCAAAATTTTGAAAACTAAAGTTCACCAAAAATAAATTTAAGAGTTTTGGAAATAAAATAAAGCTTTTTCTGTGGCATAATGGGCCTTTAAACGTATGGTTAAAAATATATACTTAAAGACATCCTTAGTCCCTAGTGGCAACTGAACCTATCCTTTCAGGGTCTTGGTCTGCGCTAGCTAGAAGCTTTACAGTCCGTAGCTATTTTTAAATCTACCCAATAATTATGAATGGTTTAGTCCGAATTGAGAGATGGACTTGCCCATTTAAGGCGTGGTTAAGGATTTTTATATTTACATAGTAGCTTTCTTTGATTCCTCCATTATCAGCGATATTTTCACCTTGTGTGTTGACGCCGTTCAACTATAAACAAAATTATCAAAATTAGTAAAAATATTATTCCGGTAAATTCTGTATACAGATCAAAGTACATGTAGTTGGTTTTATTTTACATAGTAAACGAAATTAAACATCTTAAGTATTTTAGTATTTCTTAAAGTGTCAGTATTCATTTTTGTCAGCATTAATTCATTAACGACATTTTAAAAACCTGATATCCATTTTTGAAAAGTAAATCATTAAAAAGATAAATTGAGCCGCGCCATGACAAACACAACAAAGTGCGTTTGCGACGCGCATGAATTCAAACCAGTCTGCGCATCCCCGTAGTCTGATCAGGATCCATGCTGTTCGCTATCAGTTTCTCTACTTGCAATAGGTATTGTAAGCGTACAGCATGGATCCTGATCTGGATCCATGCTGGTCGCAAACACACTATGTTAGTTTTGTCATGGCGCGGCGCAGTTATCTTTTTTATCTAAGTAAATTTAGCATAATATATTTACAGTCATTCCTCCGGTTCCTGGAACTGTAAAGTTACTATACTGGTCAATGATGCACTGAGCACGTTCTTTAAATTTTGCAGCATCCGTGTCTGACCACCAACTATGCAAATTACCAGTTTTGTCATAGAGTCGACCTACAATGGCATTAATATAAATAATAACTATAGAACCACAATCATCATCATCATCAATATCATCATCAATGTCATCATTATCACCATCATCATAGACATTATCATTATTTTTGTCAATATTATCATCATCATAATCGTTATCATCATCATTACAACATTTTCGTCATTATTATCATCATAAATATAATCATTATCATCATCATTATCACATTATTATCATCATTTTAATCATTATCAACATAATCATCATCATAAATATCATCATCATCATAAACAATATCATTATCTATGTCAAAAGTATCGGCATCATCATTATTAACATAATCATCATTGTATACATAATCATCATCATAAACATAATCATCATCATTGTCATCCTTAATGATCTATATGTGTTCATACAATGCCACTAAATGTTCTAAATGTGCTCCTACAATGCTTCGAAATGTTCTAAATGTGCTCCTACAATGCTTCGAAATGTTCTAAATGTGCTCCTACAATGCTTCGAAATGTTCTAAATGTGCTCCTACAATGCTTCGAAATGTTCTAAATGTGCACAGACAATTCTTCTAAATGTTCTGAAAGTGTTCTTCAAAACGTTATGCGCTCCTACAATGCTTTTAAATGTTATAAATGTGCTCCTACAATACTTATAAATATTCTCAAGGTTCTCCTTCCTTGCTTCTTAATGTTCTTAAAGTGTTCCTACAATGCTTCGTAATGCTCTAAAAGTGTTCTTACAATGCTTCTAAATGTTAAAAATGTGCTCCTACAATGCTTCGACATATTCTTAATGTGCATCAACAATGCTTCGACATATTCTAAATGTGGTCCTACAATGCTTCGACATATTCAAAATGTGGTCCTACAATGCTTTGACATATTCTTAATGAGCTCCAACAATGCTTCGACATATTCTAAATGTGGTCCTACAATGCTTTGACATATTCTAAATGTGGTCCTACAATGCTTCGACATATTCTAAATGTGCTCCAACAATGCTTCGACATATTCTAAATGTTGTCCTACAATGCTTCGACACATTCTAAATGTGGTCCTACAATGCTTCGACATATTCTAAATGTGGTCCTACAATGCTTCGACATATTCTTAATGAGCTCCAACAATACTTCGACATATTCTAAATGTGGTCTTACAATGCTTCGACATATTCTAAATGTGGTCCTACAATGCTTCGACATATTCTAAATATGCTCCACAAATGCTTCGACATATTCTAAATGTGGTCCTACAATGCTTCGACATATTCTAAATGTGGTCCTACAATGCATGGAAATGTTCTTAATGTGCTCCTACAATGCTTTATCTCTAATAAACATACCTTGATCATCAAAACCATGTGTTATTTCATGACCTATGACATATCCGATGCCGCCATAATTGAGATACCTGTATAAAATGTTGAACGATAATAATCATGACGTAATATTATTGCATCGTATCAATCGTAACAACTCGGCTTTCTCCGGCAGCTTCGTAGGAAAAACTTATTGAAGTCGGCCGAGGTGCTCCGATTAACAATGTATTTCTATCTTAATTATTATAAATATAAATAACAACTGAAAGTTATAAAATATTTTGACAAATGTAAGACAGAAGACAAAAGCATTTTTAAAGATTCAATTGCAAGTATTTTAAGGAGCAAAACTAAAGTTGAAAAAAAAATTAAATAGACAAGGCGGCTGTTATTATTATTATTATTATCATTATTATTATTATAATTGTTATTATTATAATAATTATTATTATTTCTTTTATTATTACTATTATTATGAAAGACTTACGCTGGCTGGTCGTGGGAATAAAACGGTGGCTGAAGAATTGCGGCGGGGAACGCTGAAAAGAATCAGTTCTAATTGTAGATAAAAATGACATTGTATAGGAGTACATCTTCTTTATTAAAAGTATTCATTAAAATAAGTATTATATACTCAACGTAAAGTCAAATTTAGCAAAAAAAATGGGGTTTAAGGTTAAGGGTCTTTGGTTTATACAGAATTTATTTTAGTTCGATTGTGCTTGAAGCTATAAGCTTATAGACACAGTTTCGAATCCGTTCCTGAGCCAACCAGTACTTAGCAATGAGTGTAAAGTTTCTTGCTTAAGGAAACAACGACTTGCCCCTGACGGGGTTTGTAGCAATCATTTGATTACGCAATCATTTAATTACTAGTCCGACGCGTTAACCATTCGGCCATGCCGCCACTTCTATATGGGGTCTTTTAAGTAGAACCGAGCCAAGGTAGACTTTAAGTAGAACCGAGCCATGTTAAATTGTAGCGAGAAGGATTTACATAGCGAGTTTCCAGACCATTCTATTTGAAAAAAAAACAGGTTTATTATACTCAAGAGTCAAGAACAAATTATACGAACATGTTTGTATAGTTTTATCTTGATAAACATTGGTACGTTTTAATGGCGATTAGCTGATGAATGTAACCGCTGCAATACTATTCATTCATTCGTGTTTGTGTGAGAATTAATAGTACAAATGTATCCACAACATTTTCAACGTCCTGTTGCGGTTTTCAAGGGAAACCGACGCTACTCCGAATGACCGGTTTTAAAGAAAAACCGATGCTACCTCAACGTGCATATTTTTCATTCGTACATCATAAAAGTATTTATTTATATCAATTTATGTAAAGGTATATCAGACCACAAAAAGACACAAAGAGTACAGACCACGGACATGTCCCCATCATGCTCAAGAAAAGTTAATTTTGAAGCAAAATTAGGTGATAAATTACCTCTGTGCTATAACCATACAGTATTTGCCAAATTTGAATAATGTTTAGTCAAATCAAGTATATATACTGCGACTAAAGAGAATTAGAACATATTAACCCCTGAGTAATCTGATACAGTAATGGAATGGTAGGAAGCCATTATAAGGGCCAGCAGAGGGCGCTGTCGTTCAGACCGTCTGTTCGAACACATCTAACCTTTCTCTTCGTCGCCACCACTTCTAAGGGCAATTATTTTCGGCATCACTCAGAACATCGGCAGCTGATCTTAGCAAGTATACATAGACTCTTTGTATTTATTCCGCTCTAAGTCTTGTTTATGTTCTGCTCCACTGCGACGTACATGTTACGAGGGTGTGACAGTATACAATTGGAGGTTTTTATAATGATAATGATATATCTAAATCAATCTTCTACGCAGTGATCTCCCCTTATCAGTACAAACTGCCAAGGTAGGTTGGGGAGTTTGTATCTAATTAAGTAAAAACACAATACGTACTGATCTGGTTGGTTTCCGGGTTGTAATAGGCGTTCACAGTTGCGGGAGACATGTCCCAACTGAAAAACAAGTAAACATATTTAGGGTAAATATGTCAAGAACAGAAAAGACAAAAAAGATACCATTTGACACGCAAACCAGATAAAGGTTGAATAAACATTTTGTAATTTAATTTAGCTGAATGCAAATGAAATTTGAAAAGCAATCCATTAACAGAAATTCTGTCCTATATATTGAGAAAAGAGATCTTTATGTTTATACAGTAGAGACGATTTTTAGATTAGTAAACATGACATTCTAAATGATGTATGTAAAGAAAGAAACTCTGAGAATAGATAATGGAATATATCTTTTGATGTGATTGATATTTTTAAGCTTTTTTCTCTTACTCATTTTTGTCTACGTCTTTTCTGAGATCATAAAGACGTTTAATGACGGCAGCTTCGGAGGCGCTGATAAGAGTCCGTAACGGATCGTCCGTGTATACGGTCACCTGTTCAAGATATTAAATCTTCAGTAAACACTCGTGTTAAAAAAATTCGTATTAATGTACACGTTACATGTATACATGTATAATACCATCAGGAATGTTTCGTGAATAATACTGAAAGAATGATCAGTATAATTTATCATATTGTCAACGTCTCCAGATTCCTGCTAATTTTGATGAACATTTTTGAAACGAACTAAAAAGTAAAATATTGTAAGTGAACAAACACATTGCGTTAGTAACGTAGTAGAAACGTAGTATTACAGTAGTAGAAAAATGGTGAAAATACTGAAAAATCGGAAAATAATCGCACATAACATGGAAATTATTACTTTTATCTTGTATCTGTTAACTTTACTTAAAAGCTCAGTTTATTTTTTCTAACTTTGATTTTCTTGAAAAATAGAATGGCTCATCTGGAGGAATGCAGCTTTAACACAATAAAAATACACTACAAATCTCTCGCAAGTAAAACTAATTCCAGTTGCACATGCTTTCGTCTACAAAATTATATAAGATCAAGAAGAAATACACTTACATTTTCATACATAGCATTCAAGGCGCTATCGTTATACACTACATCTGAATAGCCTATTCTAGGCTCGATAAAATCTGCCTGAAATTACAGAAAAAGTGAATCAAAATGTTAACCTGAAAGCAACACACCAATGCAATTATTATTATTGTCGTCCGGTTAGCTCAATAGGAAGAGCCTTGGACTGTAAACTGGGCAATCCGGGTTCGATTCCCGGACGGTACGGGTCACTTTCGTTGTGATTGATCATGAAATTCTTTCTACGGTTATTTACACTTTACCTACAGAAGTAGTGAAGGCAACTAGTACTGGTAAACTGCTTAACAGCCTGTCCAGGAACGATGCTGTGGCTGAACTGTGCTCTGGTGAACTATATGTGGCTTACTGCCGTGATCCAGAGTGAGCCCTACCAACAATCATTTTAGCTTTACAATAGAGGGTAAAATGGACATTTTCGCGTATTGAATTATAATACAGAAGCGTCATGAAGAAACCCATTTCAGGTTTATGCAAACAATCTAAATCAGATCTTATATTGAGATTCTTCAATGTTTCGATAATTGTCTTGTATATAATTGTGTAAGTGTTCATAATCTACGTAAATACCGCATCAGATATAATTGTATAAAGCCAAATATGTTTGTTTTCAGAAACCTAGTAAATTGGTTTCAATTCTTCTAGGAATATTATAAATATAACAAATGTCACTTACGGGTAATATTGCAAACCGAGCATACATTTCAATCACAGGCGCTAGTGACATAATCAAATATTTTACATAATCGGCCTATATATGTATATTAAGATATTTTTTGTGAAACTTTTACTTACTTCTTTGCTATTTTAGAGATTTTAATGAAATAAAAAGCGTAATATTTTCAAATTGCGACCAAAAAGAGAAAACCGTGATCTGGTCGCTTCTTGCAACAGTGTTCTTGTTTGTTCAGCATGGCGTTTTTTCTGTTGTTTTATTTTCTGTTATATCTTATTATAGTATATAGCCCATATAGAACATAAAAATTTTGTTTCAAGCATCTCTAATTTCAATAATAGTAAAACATTTTAATATAGTAATAAAAAGTTTACGCGAGCAGAGCTGCCAGGGGAGAGAACTAGAACATATTACGTTTTCTTAAGTCTATATAGATCACTCGCTCCTGGGGAATATTACAAAAAATATTCACCGCGTCACGACAAAACCAACATAGTGCGTTTGCGACCAGCATGGATCCAGACCAGCCTGCGCATCCGCGCAGTCTGATCAGGATCCATGCTATTCGTTATCAGTTTCTCTACTTGTTATAGGGTTTGTAAGCGAACAGCATGGATTTTTATCAGACTGCGCGGATACGCAGGCTGGTCTGGATCCATGCTGGTCACAAACACATTACGGTTTTTTTGTCGTGACGCAGCTCATATCTGACTACATACCTTTTCCTTTGCAACTTGCTTAGTGGCACTCTCCATCCATGGTAGGTCGTCAATCATTCCTTTAAATGATACCCTCAATTTACCAACCAAGTCTAAAACCTGTCAAAGATAAAAAGTTAAATAATATCATTGTTTTTATTTTTTTTTCTATTTTTTTTTAAAGATAGATGATAATTTCAGCAGTATAACGCTAAATTCTTAATGTTCAAATCGCCAAGTTCAAAACTTGAATTCATGAAGTTGAATATATGAATATAATTCGTGAATTCGTGAAGTCGAAATCGCAAATTCGTGAAGTCGAAATCGTAAATTCGTGAAATTGAAATCATGATTCAAGAACCTGAAATCAGAACTTCATGTAGATGAAATATTGAATATATGAAGTTAAGAGCGTAAAGTTCAAAACATTAATTCATGAAGTTGAATATATGAGCTTGAAATCGTGAATTCGTGAAGTCGAAATCGTGAATTTACAAAGATGAAATCGGAAATTTCTGAAGTTGAAATGTCCCAACCGGTTTTTCGTAGTCGTGACAAGTAATTCGTGAAGTTGAAATCGTGAATATGTGAAGCTGAAATCGTGAATTCACGAAGTTAAATATTTCAAATTCGTGAAGATGATATCTTGAATTCACGAATTTGAAATTGTGAATTTGTCAAGTTGAAATCGTGAATTCGTGAAGTTTTAATCGTGTATTCACGAAGTTAAAATTATGAATGAAATTTTGAATTTATGAAGTTGAAATCGTAAAGTTCAAAACTTAAATTCATGAAGTTGTATTCAAGAATTTAAAATCATGAATTCGTGAATTTGAAATCGTGAATTCACAAAGATGAAATCGGAAATACTTGCAGTTGAAATGTCCCCATCGGTCTTCTGTAGTCGTGACAAGGGTTTCATTTTTACCAATATTTTATCTTATTATTTGCATCTAATCATTGAATTGCGGGACAAGGCATTCGAAACATAGAACCATTCAGAAAGGAAATAACAAAAAAATAGAATATTAACATGAAACAAGAAGTAACATGGCTGTGTGTATTGTAAAGTTATTTATATTTCAATCACGATGTATAATTGAACAAATCAAAAATAAGGTATCTGTTCTGTTCTGTTATAGTATTAATTATATAATGTGAGAAAGAGAGAAAAAGACCCGTCCCTGAAAATCGAGACAAATCCACGATAAGTTCAATTGTGTAAACTGAAGCGCATGGTTAAAAAAATAAATATATTAATTTTTATTTTTTTTTAATTTCAAGCCAGTTTATCTTACGTCTTTCTTTGCTTCTTTCCTGAATGCATCTTCCACAAACAATCGCCCAACAACTTCCGGCATCGTATTTTTAACATTGTCACCACAAGACTGCCATCTCGGAGATTCAGTTGCAGATCCAGACAAAACCTGGAGAAAACAAGTTTATTGCATAGATGCTATACAATGCATAAGGTAGTTTAATCATTTGTATAAATGCAATGTTAGAATATATAGTATACATTTCAATGGCATAGGGCTAAAATGAATTTGTTTAAACAAATGACAATACGTGTTATAGATATTTGAATGTGTTAAGTTAAAACCGTACAATATCGTTCAACTATTTATATTATCTGGTCATTTAGGATTAGTATTGAAATATCTTAACAGGTCACGTGACTTTCTTATATATTATCTGTATACATGTACGCTTACCTTTCTGTATTTTAATTTGATATCAGTAAAAACCTTCGGAAGATAGAATGTTTTTCCTAAAACTCGCCTCGACAAAACATAGTTGACAATAACTCTGGAAAGAAAATAAGACACAAAAATACTTGTATTAATATGAAAAGATGATACATTATACATATTTTATGCACGTTAATTCATGCTTGATGACAATAGAAAGAAAAGTTAGAACGCGATATTTCAATTTGATATATTAAAGTTAAACATATTGTGTATCAAAATAATTGATAATTGTTGAAGAGTTATGCATATGCAATGTACCAATTCACCAATGTAATGCATTATTTTACAATAACATGTAATGTAAATCATCTATCTATGCATTACACATTACATGAAATTACTAAAGGAAATGTAATGTATTACATTACAATTACATTTTTGCAATACATGTTGTCTGTAAACAAAGGAGATATACAATGTACTAGAAACATTTTGCAACCTTTTTTGTGCAAGATAATAAAAATTATGTTGATACTACGATTCCTAATTTAGTGTAGGTTGAAAAAGGAGTACATACATACATGTACTTTAACCATATTATGAAGTTCCTATTCGAATATGTTTAAGGCCCATCCGCTACGCTCATTAGAGAGAGTATTGAATTAATAATCAAGGGTTCCTGGTTCGATCCCCAGACGAGGCATTATTTTCCCGTGACAACTGACCTTTATTTTGAGTCCTATGGTCATTTGTCTCTCAGAAATTATGCGGGTTTTGCAGTCGGTTAATTTGCGGAGAATTTGGTTATTACTGGCTAATTATCCACGAAAACTGGTTAGGTGGAGCGACCGCCGAAGTTTGAAAACTAATATATACAATCGTAATCATGATATCATAACGGTTTATTTTGTAAACTATAAGTGTCTTAAATCATATCGTACCAATTTAATTTGTTAAATATAAATGTCTTTAACGTTTTACCGGGATGAATATTTAGTTAGAAGATCTCCTATCTTCTCTAAGAACGGCGGGGCAATGGCAAGAACAGGTTCAGAGTCGTCAATAGATAAGCCAATAATCTGCATGGTTCCCTTGACAAGTTTCTTCCAGTCTACCTGTGATCATATAAACATTTTATAAATCTTATAACAGTCATTCCTAGCTAATTTTTGAGCTAATAATCGTAGCTTTAGTGAGAAATACGTCAAAAAGTAGCATAGTGATCCAGGCTTTCTTTTATAGATTTGTTTCAATTGTGATTCTCTTTAATCTATAGCGTTTAAGAAAATTCTCCGCATTTTCCTACTTTGTCTATGTGAAAATGGCGTTACTGTTTGAAAGACCAAACCTAAATATTCAATGTTTCTACTCAATAACTTAATGTAAAAGATAGAGCAATATTTGCAACAATCTAATCGTAACAGTTAAAAAAAATATTTGTAATCAATTGCGTTGTAACACTTACTCCAGTGAAATTATTACTCAATTCTCCGAGGGTCATTTTGTTGTAAAGTTTCTCGGGATCTCTCCTCTCTTCTTTAGGCACAGTTATCTGAATTTGGAAATCAACCATTATATTCCAGATCTTATATCAATTAATATATTCTAGGATTTCATAGAATATACAGTAAACTACTCTTATAATGATATGCAGGGGACCGCCGAATTTATTTCTATATACTAGTATCCGGATATCGTCATATCCGAATGGCAACTAGTGTGAAAACCGAGGCAACAGCATTGTAATAAGCGGTATATCGCAATAAGCGGTATATCGTTATAAGCGATATATCGTTATAAGCGGTTTACTCTACAATATGTTTACATTTATCCATGTAAAATATTTACATTATTTTTTTGAAACATTTATCTATTTACATGTAAATCATAAAGATATTTACATGTAAATCATAAAGATACTATATATTAACTCTAAAAAAATTTTTCGAGGTTATTAACTATTTGTTCTTACGTTTGCAAGTTCAATTTCCATGTCGACAATGTCCTTGGCGTCATTTGCCGCGGTGGTCTCGTCAGCTCCAAAGGCAACAGCGCTTTCTTGTATCATTGTCTGATAAGCCATCAATGTTTTGTCATCTCTCCCCTTTAAATAATAGTCTCGACTTGGCATGCCGAGATCTGGCTGATCAATCTAAATATGAATAATTAGTCTCACTTGAAAGATTAGTTAATATACATTGTTCCTCAAAATGCTATCTTTTATTTCTCAAAAACAGTTTTTGTACCATTGTATTGGGACCTTTCCGTTAAAAATGCGTCAGAGTTGAATCGTAAACATATAGATGCACAGTTCGAAAACTGGAGTACAGTTATAAGTTACCCGCACTCCAGAACATGCTCATTGATTGGCTCATTTGTTCTGAGGTTTACTCATTGTGACGACAGAGACAGGGACAGCGATAGAAAATCACATTCAGGTGCTCGTTTATTGATTACTTATTTCTGGGGTTTCTATTGTGACAACAGGGAAGTGTTTTTACTTTTGCCTATGATACAAAAGAAGATGAATATCAACACATCGGCAATCTGATTTATACTCGGGAGCTACGCCCTCTCGTACAAAGATAACCTCGTGTTTTGATGCTTTTTCTATTACTTTATAAGGCACAGACTTTCTTTGTATTGATACCATTCTTTACTGTTTTGTTAATTAAGAATAAGTTATAAATAAGAATCTTTGTAAATTAGGAATAAGTTATTAACAATTATTCTCTAAATTACATTTTATATATAAAACATACTCACATAAAGTATATGCTTCGTGGGGTGTTTGTCGTCCTGTGTTACACCTACATCAATCAGAGGTAAGTAATTAGTTCCCTTCCTAGAGTAAATGAGTAGATCTTCTATGTTATAGTCGCTAGAATTCCAGTTTCCTCCAGGGTTTGATCCGAGAACTGGCCAACCACCGAACCCATCCATGTACTTTTGAATGTATGTCAAGCCAAGCTCTTCAATTTTATCTTGAAAACAAAATAATTACGACCTGAAAACAGCTAAAGTACTGAGCTGTGCATTAGTAGGCTAGCAAGAACACTGTAAGATACAGTAAACTCTGCTTATAACGATATCGCTTATAACAAAATACCGCTTATAACGAAATACCGCTTATAACGATAAACCGCTTATAACATTGCTGTTGCCGCGGTTTCAAATTGGTTGCCTGTCGGATATTGCGATATAAATTCGGCGGTCCTCCGAATATCGTTTTAAACGGAGTTTACTGTAATTCAAAGTAAAAAGTCAGTATTATTCTTAACTCGCAACCATATATCATGTATTTGTGAGATTAATTTCTATATTTAGTAGTTGGTACAGACGAAAGTACACTGAACGTAATCAGAACAACTGGAACGTCTTCGGTGTTTTTTTTTACCCATACGTACATTGAAAATGGAATAAAATTCTTTGGTTTTTTAGTAAAATTTTAAATATCATCAATTAATTTTTTGAAAAATATATATTTTGTCCTCTACATTTAAATCTCAATGTATGCAACTAGCTCAAATTCAACAACACATCATTTCAAAACTTGCAAACATGCCGGAAAACCTAATGCCATAAAGTGGATTTGTTTCAAGGAAAATGTTTGTTCGGGATATTAATTACCTTCATTTATACAGGCTTTGTAGTAATTTCTTGACTTCTTTATAGCTTCTGCATCATCTGCCTTATTTGAAGCCTCTAAAACAGCTGCAAGAACAATAAAGCATGACTTAAATTATTAACAGATACAAGTATGCTGTGTTGCCAACACAGATAGTCGACAACTTGTAAATAACAAACTTTAATTATTACATATATATGAACTAGAATCAATGGCTTGCTTTCTTAATTTAATTTCCTTTTCGTTTTTATTTCATTTTTATCTTTATCATCATAAATTTTATTGTAAATTTAATATTGTTGGTGATGATAATGATGATGATGATTGCGATGATGAAAAGGAGGAAGCGGATGATAGAAAGGAGAAAACGAAAAATATAGAATGAGAAAATGTGGAAATTGATTGCGGGGGGAAAATAAGCCGGTATAATAAGAGAAGGTAAACAGACGGTGACGAATGAACGGGAGGAATATAGATAATCAACATGGCTTAAAAAAAGATAATCGGCAAAATATAACAATAAACAATGAAGTAAACTAACCCCGTCATCAATGATACTTTTAAAAAAGAACGGAGAAAAATTGAACATGTTCTAGAAAGAATTATATCTTGATTTAGAACTATCTGAAAACATATGTTTTATAAGGTGTGGTGTGACAGAGGTGATTATGCTCTAGTCATTTGAAATGGATTTGGCAGTGTGGGGACAGTTTGAATGTAACCCTCGGCTTAATATCTCTGCTATTCCCAAGTTCCCTTCAGGGGTTTGGTAGAGAAGTCTTATAAATGAAATTACAAACATATGCAAAAGTACAGGAAATACGTACATTTTGATATCACAGATACGTCATCCCTGAGTTTTGTAAATGTCCCGAATGAACTTTTGTCTTCTGGAATCACGTGCTGTCGTACCCACGTGCCACAGGCGAAATTGTAAAAGTCGTCACATGGGTTTACATTCATGTCCATTGCGCTCATGACACGTGCAGCTGAAACATGCAATTATTTAAAACTATTGTGTTTATGTATAGGTTAGAGTGCATAGTGGGTGTTCTTCGTGAATAAGAAAGCTAAAAAGGAGCGGAGCTTGCGAAGCGACTGTAGCTTTCTTATTTACGAAGAACATCCAATATGCACTCTAACCGGCTTAGTGCTCCGCCCACTTGCGTTTTATAATATAAAACGTCCAGTTTATATAAAATCTGTTCTATTAAGATTTGTAACCTGAAAATTTGAAAAATCCTCGTCGGTGATTGGCTTAAAAAAATTGGCGAGCACTAAATATTTTTTTTTATTTTTTATATAAAAAGAACCGATTTATAATAACGTTACCACTTAAAACATAAAAATACCAATCCATAAGAAAATGAAACTTGTAAATTTGAACGTTATTAGAGTGTGTGCTTTCATCTATATATTTTCAACGTTGTAAACTATATATCATTTACTAGCAGCATGCCTCCAGAATCATGCAATTTTTTTTATGAAAATTTTGAAATTGAAATATTATGAAGTGAGCCAAAAGTAATTTACACATTGCAAATGGCTCTTACTATCCACCTAAATTACCAAAAAGAGGTTATAATTGCCAAAAATAGCCCTTGCTGCGTAAGTCACGCAGTAGAAATTATGCTGTCAATACTGCATAAGCAGTCATAAATCGTATATACTATGTAAATCATAACATGATCCGAGAATCTTTTTATATTTCTCAAACTCTTGGTACATTTTTTCTCAAGTTTGATTTTCTTGAAATATTTTGGCTAACCTGGGGCCATGCAGCTTTAATCGTCTGTCTTAAAAATGAAAATGTCAATTACCTGCAATGACACATCCCGGAGTGAGGCACACACCTGAAAGAAGAGTATGACCTATAGTCGAAATACATATATTACCAATTTATTCCGTGAATATTTTTTTTACTCGGTAAGTGTTGCTTTTTTGGAGATAAAGGGTACTTTCTCGTGTATTTTAAAGGCTCCGACTTTACTGATACAGACGTTGGAATTATATTGTACATGTATGTGATGTCGCATTATTGTGTTTTCGGGGCGTATTTTTAAGTTTTCAACAATGTTGCCCATCCATCACGAAAATCGAAAAGAAAACATTTTAAATGCCGTGGTTCGCCCTTTATTTGCTGTTAATTATCGTTATTGTCATAATTATATTGTTAATGCCGTTTTGTCACTTATAATGATGTTCTGTATGATAAATCATTATATTTATCATTTACATATAAATGTATCATCGTTTTTTACGGATAACTATTACCGATATTATATCATCATCCATTATCGACAGAGCTACTATATTGTATCGTCGCCGTTAACATTAAAATGACGTCGCTTGATATCGCTTATATATCGCTGTCGATAAAAGAATAAATGGTTAAAAAATAATTAAGCTCATTTAGTCTAAGCTATGGTTTATCATATCGTTTCCTTGACGACAAAGATTATCAATAAAAACTCATGCACAAAAAGGTAGGTCATTGCGTCCATATATAAATTGTTTGCAAAATTATGTCTATCTAAGTGTCTCAATTAAATTTGCTGATATCTTAATTTCGTAATGCCTACTGATAGGGAATACGGGTCACTATACAGGAAGTAACTATATCTGTGCTAACATTCAGCCGTTCCTACAAACTTTATGGCTAAGGCTAACATATAGATAATGATAGCAACCATTAAGATGTTTACATAGCACTTATCCCAACTACTTCTGTGCATTTGAGGGATCAATTTTGAGTCAGAAATTGTCGTAAAGATATCATGCATGTTTTTCTTATATTTTTTTCAGTTCTGCTGATCTAAATATTTCTGATAATAAATTTTGTCAACGTTTCATTCTTTTTTGAGGGAGTGATTTTTAGTTAACGTTTCAACTGCATATATGACTGTCCTTTCGATCCTTTTGGTAAAGCAAAAATACTTTATGTCCCCTATTTACGACTTCATAATAACGCTTTAGTAGTTAATGTTTTCATTTGCTTTGTAGCATAAGTTAAGTTCTAGGACCTAGGGATGCCATATCGTGTAATGTATGTCAACCATAATATCGTGTTTGCCAACCATCATACCGTGTATGTCTAGAATGTCTAGTATAGAATGCATGTTTACCATCATAATATTATCGTGTACGTCATTCATAATATCGTGTACGTCAATCATCATATCGCGTACGTCAACCAGCATAACCTTCATATCGTGTACGTCATTCATTATAATACTGCACGTTTGTAACGTCAGTTTTCATTGAATAATCGTGTCGTTTATATAGTTTTATATACACGGCTGCTGTCGATTCATGAAGAAATCTTACTCTTTTCTCTAAAAGTGATGCTTGCTGTATTATAAATTCGTTATAAAGAGTGTTGACAGGTTATATGGCCGTATATAAACGGCTATTTGTAAATATAACCCGAGCCTTCATATCGTGTACGTCATTCATTATATCGTGTTTGCCAACCATCATATCGTGTATGTCAATCATCATAGAGTGCATGTTTACCATCATATCGTGTAAGTCATTCATTATATCGTGTATGTCAACCATCATATCGTGTATGTCTTCCATCATAGAGTTTATGTTTACCATCATGTCGTGTACGTCATTTATTATATCGTGTAAGTCATTCATTATACCGTGCTATTTGTCTGTTTCATCTTCAACTTGCTTGAGTATATTAAAAATGGAAATAGAAACAAAATTAAAATGAATTTGATTTTTGAGTGTGGTGAACAAAATCTTAGAAATATGCCTGTAACACAAGTGATGGATTTCCAACTTTTACAGGGGATAAATACAGCGATCCTTTCTTAACTTCTATTACACAATGGTTCTTACCAAATTTTGCTGACATAAGCAGGATTTTTTTTAAAGATATATCATTTTTTATCAAAAAATGAAAGAAAGAAAAGATTAAAATTGGGCTGACTTACCATCTGCACTTTGTGTGTTTGGACCTTTCGGATCTGAAAAAGTTAATTAATACCATTAAGTGAAATAATAGATTGTAGCATGTGTGTACACGGCGATATGTGTGTGTCACTTAACCATTACCCTGGTGATCCAGTATAAATCCAGACCAGCGTTTATATCCATGCAGTCTGACACGCCTCTGTACCGTTCACTTCGATTAAGAATCTCGTATGGTGGCTGATTTGTGCCATTCGTGTTTTCACTCCGCACCCCTGGTGGGGTCGCGGGGCGAAAACACAAATGGCACAAATCAGCCACCATAATCTCGTTCAGTGTCATAAAATAAAAGATCTACCAACGAAAAAAACCAAGTTATGCTGCAACTTTGAGTGACAACTTAGTACATAATTAAACTCATTCAAATGATGAAAATAGTCAAGAAATTACTTGACCTAAGCACTTACTGTCAAACAAAAGAAATCCATGGCATAATGCAAATGACAAGATCAAAATTATATAATTGATCATGTTTAAAATGGGCACCTTCTGGTCAGCTAGAGTACCAGATTCGAAAGTGAGCTTTAAGTCAAGGGCGATATAATGTCATAGTGCTTTATCATTGTATATTTCAGAACGTTAGAATACCTAAATACTCTAGCAACAGAGATATGTACATAATCAAATCATACACGTATGCACAAAATCCTTCTATTAGCGCTTAGTGCTAATAAGTAACTTTTCTTATTTATCATCCTTACTTTAGTTCTAATCAATGACATGTATGTTTATTTTCTGATTTTGTACATCATTCTTTCACAGGATGTGTTATTTGGCAGGCGTCTTCTAGCAATAGTCTGAACAAGGCAGTCTGGAGGACAGTTAAATCTCCTTCCGCACTGAACATGAATGTGTACTTCTTCACCTTTTACCAACAATGACCTTGATGTTGTGCCATGCATATCATAAGCACATAGTCTAACGATGGTGATTATTTGTGCCAAGTTATTTAAAATCTTCCATAAAGTCAAAAAGTTATGGAGAACATTTAACCTTGACCTTGGGTGTTGTGATCTGCAGATTGTGTCAAGGCGGGGATCATTTGTGCAAAGTAATTTTAAAACCTTTAAATTGTCAATAAGTTATAGAGCTGACATGAATAGGTGTTTTACATTGGACCTTTAAGTTTGACCCTGACCTTCAGGGTTGTGACTTGATAATTGTGCTCTGCCAATGGTGTCATAATGGTAATCATTTCTTACAAGTCATCATAAAAACATTGCAGCGGTTTAAATGTTTCGGACGGACACGAAATGTAGACTTTCTAACATTTGACATGTAAGTGTGACCTTGGAGGTAGTAATTCAATTATTGCCCTTTGCACATGTTTTTATAATTGTGATCAGTTGTGCCAAGTTATTTTTTAAAAAAAATCAGCGGTTTAAAAGTGATAGAGCGGACACAAAATGTACACTTTTTATTATGAAATGAAGACTTTTTAACATTTGACCTTTAAGTGTGACCTTGACCTTGGGGGTAGCAACCCAATTTTTGCGCTCTGCACATCATGTCATTATGGTGATCACTCGTGCCAAGTAATTTAAAAAAAAATCAGCGGTAAAAAAGTTATGGAGCGGACAGAATATGTAGACTTTTTATTATGAAATGAAGATTTTTTAACATTTGACATTAAAGTGTGACCTTGACCTTGGGGTAGTAACCAAATGTTTGCGCTCTGCACATCTTCTCATTATGGTGATCACTTGTACCAAGTTATTTCAAATTTGTTTTTAGTTTTAAGTGATACCTTGACCTTGGGGATAGCAACCCAATTTTTGCGCTCTGCACATTGTCTCATTATGGTGATGACTTGTGCCAAGTTATATTTTAAAAAATCATCGGAAAAAATATGGAGCAGAAACGAAATGTAGACTTTTTATTATGAAATGAAGACTTTTTAACATTTGACCTTTAAGTGTGACCTTGACCTTGAGGGTAGCAAACCAATTTTTGCGCTGTGCACATTGTCTCATTATGGTGATCACTTGTGCCAAGTTATATTTAAAATTTCAGCGGTTAAAAAGTTATTGAGCGGCCACGAAATGAAAACTTTTTATTATGATATGAAGATTTTTTAACATTTCACTTTTAAGTGTGACCTTGACCTTGGGGATATCAACCCAATTTTTGCGCTCTGAACATCGTATCATTATGATGATCACTTGTGCCAAGTTATATTTAAAAATTTCAGCGGTTAAAAAGTTATAGTGCGGCCACGAAATGTAGACTTTTTATTATGAAATGAAGATTTTTTAACATTTGACCTGCAAGTGTGACCTTGACCTTGGGGATATCAACCCAATTTGTGCGCTCTGCACATCGTATCATTATGATGATCACTTGTGCCAAGTTATATTTAAAAATTTCAGCGGTTAAAAAGTTATAGTGCGGCCACGAAATGTAGACTTTTTATTATGAATTGAAGATTTTTTAACATTTGACCTGTAAGTGTGACATTGACCTTGGGGATATCAACCAGATTTTTGCGCTCTGCACATCGTATCATTATGGTGATCACTTGTGTCAAGTTATTTCAAAAAAAATTCAGCGGTTTAAAAGTTATGGAGCGGACACGAAAGTGTTACGGACGGACGGGCGTACGGACTGACAGACGGAGGTCATTCCTAAAATCCGCTTTCCGCGTATGAAGATGTTACGATTTCTAATAAAGTGAATAAAAGCAGTGTAAAATATGAAAAATAATGTACTTTAAATTTGTAATAATTCCAGCTTTCCAACATCAAAAGATAAAAACAACACAACTCACTTCCGTCTAAGATGAAGCCATTGCATACTGCTAACAGTGTTACAAGCAGTACTAATCGTAACATCTTTCAGGTGTAAGAATGGAATGACAAGACATGTGCGCGACAGTGACATATAAAGGTTGATAATCAGATCAACGACTGATAAAGACTCGCCAATTTTTTGTCTGATTTCTTAGAGGTCTAGCAACACTAAATTATACAAGTATAAATGCAATGTGCATTTCAACAGAATAAGAAAACGTGAATATTATTGGGTTGTGAGTTACAACCTTGTCGGCATCTGACGATAACTATTTATTATTATACTTTTTTTCTTTTTTTAAGGAGCGAAAATAAGTGATTACTGTCCCTTTCCAATGTCATTAATTATTATCTACCTGTGTTTATCAACGCAAACCTATTTGAGCCGCGTCACGACAAAACCAACATAATGGGTTTGCGACCAGCATGGATCCAGACCAGCCTGCGCATCCGCGCAGTCTGATCAGGATCCATGCTGTTCGCTTACAAACTCTATAACAAGTGGAGAAACTGATAGCGAACAACATGGATCCTGATCAGACTGCGCGGATGCGCAGGCTGGTCTGGATCCATGCTGGTCGCAAACCCATTATGTTGGTTTTGTCGTGACGCGGCTCATTTGTGTTTAAAGCATAACGGATCAAACTGTGTTCAACTCATAACAGGTTTTACTGGTTTTAAACTAATGCTCATCAAATCATGTTTGAATCAATGTAGATTTGACACTGTTTCTGTCATTTCTTAGTTTAAAGGCTCAGCCTATCTCTGAAATGCTTTTATTTATATTACTCAAAAGCTTTTTTTAATTTTGATGTACTTTCATAGTATCCAAAATGCAACTTTTTAGCCAATTACCGGAACCATCTTTTTCATCTTTTGCTTTTTGGCAATAACTGCATTTATTGGGAATTAATATTTTGTATAGAAGTCAAAATACTATTTTGTTTACATTTTGCTACTTTTATGAGAAATCATTTCACATTAATCGCTACGTTTTTAGGTAAAAAAGCATCCAACATTTCTCTAAAACCATTATTTAAACATAATTAAATTCATATTTGCCTTTTCTGAAGAAGTAAAAAGTTATTTATTTATGAGGCATACTGACTATAAAACTCACCAGGACAATCAGATGCAATAATGATGTAAACATTTTGTATTCTCGACAGGTTTTAAGGTATGTATACATCGTCACTGTATCAGTGATATTGCGACTTTCCAGCTTAATGGATGGAGAAAGATCTTCATGCATTATTTCAGTCACGGAAAGGAACCTGATTAGAACCATCCACTGGACGTTTTCTTCAAATAAAGTAGGCAATTTCCCTTGTGGGATTCGAACCCGATGCGGGGAAGGACAATCGTCATAACAACCGTTTACATAAAGTCAAAGAACGTCATAAACTAACAGAGTAATAAACAGAAGAATATCTATTTATAGGTTGGTGGAGGTAAGCAAGGGCGAGCAAGAATGGTATCGCACGTGTTTGCACGTGATTCAAAAAATGTCTAAAAACCCACTTACTTGTGTCGCTATGTTTGATTAAAATGACGATGACTGCGAGAGCTAGGGCGATCGTTGATGCAATAAAGAAGGCAAGCAAGATGGTTTTAACTCTTCCTTTACATAACTTGTATTTCCTACTGGTGGCCAACTGCTCGGTGCTGCAAATAAATAAAAGTTAACTCTTCCTGAATAGTAAGGCAGTAAAATTATGGTGAAAAAACTTCAAAATCGGTCAGCAATCGCACATAACATGAAATTATTAATATCTATTAATAATTATTAATATATATTTACTACATGTACATGTATTTTTTCCTAGCTAGAATAGGTATTCGTGCACATATGGATAGACAACAATATCTTCTAATGAACCGTCAAAGCTGGTGTTTGCTTTTATAGATTATCAGTATTCTGGTCATAGTTCTGAAATGAAGTACATTTTAGGATTTTTGTTGTTGTTGTTATAGCTGCTGGTGCTGTCGATAAATTTGTTTTTGCTTCAGTTGTTGTTGTTGCTGTTGTTGTTATTATGACTGACTAATAAGTGATAACTGTTTAAAATTTACATTGCTGTTCTTGGGCCGACGAAGGGAGTTGAAACGGTCATAATATAAGAACTACTAAAGAAAAATGTAGTATGCAAAGAATTATGGTTAACTTTCGTCCTAATCCTCAATAATTACGCAAAACAAACACACAAAATAAATCATCGCAAAATAAGAATGTTGATCGAATATTTAATCTAAAAAACATCGATTAACTCAATATTCACGGTGTCATGCACATCATACTATAAGCTATGGTGGGGATAGGCCTGTATTGGTAACTATATGGAAGATCTGTAGTTCGGATTCAATTTACATCAGTGGTAGGTTAAGAAGTTAAGAACATATACAGTTAAAAATGCGCATTATCTTTTACATATTTTTCTGCACAAAAATACTTAACATGTACATGTATGATATGTTTGAATCATAACTCTTTAAACCATGTAAGTGTTACTTGTGATGGTAATAATAACGCGCCTTTAAAACTTATATCGGTGTTGTACGGTGTACCGTTTGTGCCATTGTTTCTTATTCGTATCGGCGACCTATATCGAACCCAGACCGCCGAAAGCGACGGAGCGACGAAATACCAAAGCGACGGTACGATATGAAAACGGAAAATTAATACCGTGTCCTCTTACCATCTCGTCGCTCTATTTCATCGTTTTACCGCATCGTCACTTCGGCGCATCGTGCATCATTCCGTTGTGTCAACGCGTTATCGTCTTGTTGCTTTGGAGCCTCGTCATATCGATTCGTTGCCTCATTTCGCGCCGGCATATGGACTTATCGGGTCTTCGAATTATCGAGTCGACACTTCGGTGGATCGCCTCTTCGCTTCGGCACATCGGATGGTCGTGTCAACGCTTTACCGTTTCAACGCTTTAACGCATCGTCGTGTCGCTTTCGCGCTTCGATCGTCTCGTCGCTTTCGTGGTGTCGTCTTGTAGCTGCAGCGTATAGTTTCGTCGAGACTTCCCGTTAGACTTGTGTATAGTCCCAAATATCATAATCAAAGCACAGATGGCGCTAAATTTGTTTGGGTCTCAGAATGTCAGAAAGGTGAAGGTTGTGAAATTATAAACCAATTTGTTTTTGTAAAGTGCCACCAATGCTTTCCAGTGTTTGAACTGTAGTAAATTGGCTATAAGACTAATTGCAACACTGATAGTCAATTTAATGTTTATTTGACTTAAATTGTTTTTAAAAAAATGAGTTGCCTCAACTGAGATTTGAACTCCAGATCTCTCGATTCATTAGCGAGCGTGCAAACCCCTCGGCCAAGGTGGATATGTATATTATAGGCCGGAAGAAAACCATATTATTCTAAATTAGGATTTGTAACTCTTATTATTTCGACGCTAACACAGATGTAAATAATCATGGAGCTTACTATAAGCATGTATATCTATTGTTTGGTTTTATTAACCTGTCAATTCCATACTAATTACACGGTCAATGCACACAATATATTAATCTTCGAAAGATTTTCGGTAATTTCCGTGAGATGTACTCGGTGAGATTTGATTAAATATAATTTGTGCCTATGGAGCAATTGTACTGTGCGGTATAGCGAAATAGGGTAAGCTACAGGTTTATGATTTCTAAGTGTCCTACGTGTTGTGAGATCGAGACCGCGTACCTCCAATGTTTTTAGGGTTTTTTTTTATCTTCTCCTTATAACTATATTCAATATTATCGGAACTATAATTGCTTGCTATGTTGTTTGTTTTGATTTAATATATTAAGCAATTAAACTCCTTTTAAATAACATCTTTTCATAATTAAAATTTATAATGAATTCGGATTAAAATTAGAAAATGTCGTTTCAATGGCGTTAAACACAAAACAAATTGAGACAATATTTCTTAGTTGATTCATATATGTGTAGACAATATTGGAAGCACTCGGCCATTCTCATGAAAGTATACTGCAAAAATAAAAAAAGAGTTGGCCTTAAAACAACGGCAAACAAAAGTAGGGATCGAACTTCAGGCCCCCAGTTTATTAGACAATTACTCTACCGTCTGTGCTATCGCAGATTTGACAGGCATATGCATTAAGCTGGTGTGACTTTTCAAAATATTTATTTTTTACTCCATATTAATTCTCGTAAACTACACGGACAGAACCGAAGTGAAATCGAATATTTAAATGAGTGCTATAATGTATTCAAAATTGACAGGTCAATAAAATCAGACTATATAAAGAATGAAACAATATTAGAAAGCTTCGGCCATTCGGAAACTACTTTGCTTGAAAATACACGCGCCTGCCATTTGACAATCTTTACGCATTGATCTCCCCTGAATTTTCGGCGTTAGTGTACATATAAAGGGAAGTAACCGCTTCAAAAAAAGTGGACTACTTTAGGCATTTGCAATTAACAGCATTCGACTCTGAAATTTTGTTACCATTATTTGTTTGGTCTGACGACCCAAACAAATAAAAATAGATGTTGATCTGATTATCACGCTGTTTAGTTGCGTTAATTTTTCTTCATATCGACGACTTTTGGTACACTCAAAACGCTGGAGCGAGGCGACTAAACGATACGCCGATGCATCATGGGTGTAAGGATTACATTAAGTCTGAATGCATTTTCAATCAAACTATTATAGTAAAGAAATAAAGAGGAGTAAAACATATTCATATCTTAAATGAAGTGTACATTTACGGGTTTGCGCGTATCTTAAGATAATATCCGATTTCAGTACAAAAAACAATAGTACGTTAAAGCTGCAGGCCTGTAGATTAGCTAAAATATTTTTTCAAGAAAATCAAACTTGAGAAAAAGTATTGAGATTTTAAGAAAAGTAAAAAGATTCAAGATAAAAGATATAATGTCCATGTTATGTACGTTAATGACCGATTTTGCAGTATTTTTACCATATTTTTACTGCGTTAGTAAGGGCAATTTTTTGCCTATTTTGACTCCTTTTTGGTAATTTACATTGGTTGTAAGTGCTGTTTGCAATGTGAACATTAATTTCTGTGTTAACTTATCAGAATTTTACTTTTTAATACAGTTTCAAAATTTTCATGAATGTAGGGGCGTCCTGCTTTAATCAATTGTGTCAGAAAATCTATATTAGTACTGTATACTAGGTGTCTCTAAGTAGGGCATGTATATATATCATATTTATTCATTGTGTATACGTATGTATATACACATTAATAGTAACCTTAAGTTTGTTATTGTCACAAATACGTACATTTTGACCGTGGATTCCTGAAACAACCCGTCACTGACAAAAAAATATGACACTATAATATACGATTTCTTTTTCAGTGTTACCGGATATATTGTTAAAGGCGGTTTTATAGGTTTTTTTCTAAATTTAATGTCGCTTGTAATGTATGCTTGAAATTCGTTTGAAAAAAAATCACGTGTACACATCCTCGATCCGACCAGTACTGCTGACGTTAAGGAAAGGCGTGACCGTGACTACTGTGGTGCTCGAATCGACACGACAGGCAGACACCTTATCCACCTAGCTATTCGAGCCCTAGTACAGTTTAGTTCAGTTTTTCGGTTCTTAAAGCCGATGGTCAACAGTTTCACGTTCACGTAACAGTAATAGGGATAGTATCTATAAGCAACTTCTCATAAGAAATTTACAAACAAAAACAGATCTAGAGGTGCATATATTGATGTCTCGGTTCCCTGGTTTCTAAACTTTGTTTGACCTTTAAATTTTTACATTCATGACATTCCTATATTTAATTGTCGTAAATTTTGTAGCAATAAAAATACATAATTTTTTACGACGCATCAACCGGCTTGTCTTATAACACCTTTTAAATCATTCACTTTTTACTCTCTTTTTAAACTAAAATAAATACTATGTGAACTAAACAATATGTACTTGCAGCAAAAATGAATTTATTAGGTTGATAAATACCTATTAATAGTAGCGTATCGATCGAACTTTGAACTGTTAAATAGTCGATGTTAAGGTTAATTTATAAATAGAAATTCCTACTTACACAACAAAGCATTCCAAATCGTCCATTTCACTACAATGTCCTTGTTTATTTTTACGTAACCTCGTATTGGAAGCGTCATTCCGTCTCAATCTCATTTACGTATTTTATCATGTCTTTTTTTTAAAACTATATAAACTAACACAATTCACAATTGAACTGTTTGAAGTAGAACGCTTTAAACTTGTTCTAAATTTAAAACACGGATAAGCCTCGGGGGTTATTCATGAAAATCAATGTTCGTTGCAATACACTGTACAAAATATTGTTCGTAAATTATCGATTTTAACAGAGTTCTAGAACCGATATTTCAAAATATATACATGTATAATATATCCTTCAGGATCAGATAGCGAAAATATCTTAACCGAAATTTGCAGGAGAACTAAACGAAAGACCGCGTGCTGTGATCCTGCGAATTTATGCACCTTAATGATTTTTCTGTTTTATATTAATTTCTAGACATACTATGTTTCATGTTCAAGCGTTTAATCTTTCAGTTCATCACTCATTTCTAACTCCGATCCTATTGGGAAAGTAATGAACGATTTCCAATAACATAGGCCAGGAGAAATGAAACAATGAACAAGCGCCGAGAATTATTGATTATGCAAGGGAAAAAAGCTGTTAATTGAAACAAATTGCTGATGTAAATGATGTTAATATGATGCTATGTAAATATTGGAATTCTGAGCACTGCATATTTATCCTTCAAATCAACACGGATGTTTATTTTTTACATGGAATATATAGATCTATTTATGTAAATCGTAAAATATGTAGATGCCTTAATCTCGGTTACGTTTTACGGCTCTATTATAAGAACGTTACCGTAACGTCACTTTAACTATATATATTATAATAGAGATTATAGCATAAATCGGCTAATTTTCCCTCTTTTGCCCATGTTATAACGGGACCAAGCCCATGTATTAACATAGCCACGCGCTCCTGTTATATCCCGGTTTTACCTATGCGAAATACATACAGGCCCAGTAAACACACAAAAAATGACGATTTGGCCTGTATGCCAAAAAGTCATGCGCTTGATATATTGAAATTATTGATTCGAAGGCCTTTTGCAATCGCATAACGGGGAGCAGCATTCAAGTAACTATGCCGGAAATACGGCGTATAGACATCGCCGCTAATCTTGGTTGTCGCCCTTTCTAAAAAACGGACATTTGTCAATGTAAACAAATATATGTCATTCACTAAATGACAAATATTTGTTTACAATGACAACTGTTAGATTATAAAAATAAAATCAAGCACTAAACATTATTCTCTGAAAGAAATATAAAGAGCATTTATTAATATAAGCACCAATAAAACAACATTTTCTCATATTCATTTTGTGTAACTGTATCTTGTTCTGTAAGTTAATCGGAGGGTTATGATGAATCATTAGGATTCAGTTTAACCTCCCTCCGATTAACTTACAAATGAATATGAGAAAATGTTGTTAAATATTGATGCATATATTAATAAATGGCGACATAATGCTATTTGTATTTCTTTGATAGAATAATGTTCAGTGCCTGGTTTTATTTTAATAAACTTGTCATGGTTGTGTGCTTGAAAAAAAAGAGAAAAAAAGCAAGAAGTATCTTTAAAAAAAGATACTCGGCCGAACTAAAACATGTTTATTTGCATATCGTATCTTAGAAAACATGGAAAAAGAATCATAAAAATTACGATGTTGAGCCTAGCACTGAATTTTACGTTAAATTTTTGAAATATTAAAATTATGTGCTTATTTTGGCAAATGCAACTTTAGTATTCTAATAGAAACATAATCTTAAGTCTGAAGTTAATCCTTTAAAAGTAAGGCAAAGAACAAAACAACAATCGGAACAACTCGTCACCGAACTTGACGGAGATTGCCGAGTTGTTACGATTGACAAAACAATTTATTTCGTACTCATTTTTTTCGTCTCAGTTCATTTTTACCGTCATGTAGTTCTTTTTTTCCCCTATTATTGTGAATGTCTTTTAGGCTCAAAGAAAAGCATTTAAGTTATTGAAGTTGGTTCCAATCGAAATTTTATAAAGTTTTATAAATGATAACGTTTTGTTGATACGAAATACCCGAATCAACAGATTTGCAACACCTTTGGAAATAACGAAAGAAACCATAAATCCGAAAAAAGAACCAAAAGAGAGCCTTCTTATCTAAAATACTTTGGCAAACATTTATTATAAACAAGCCATTTAATCGTAAGCGGTTAAATAGATACTTCATAAATATGTAAAATACATGAACATTATAAACTTTGTATATATAACTGATAATACCAGATAAGTTCGTTATTTTTATTCGCATGAGTAAACGGTAAAGTGGACAAAGTTGAAAACTAATGTTTGACAAAATCTATAACTCGATCGTTAAAACAGCGTAAAATCATCTGTATGATACATGACAATATAGACCTTATAATGTGTAAGAGAAGGCATGGTTAAACAGAACTTAAGTATCTGAAATTTAAAGATGTACTTAGGTCATCCTTGAGTAAAATATTTTAATCCCAGAAATTTATTGAAACCAAAGAAATATTTATTGAATATGTCTTATTTGAATAAAATAATTAATAAACTATGTATGAGAAGCTGCGTTCCCTATTACGGGTAAGGGTTTGAAGGGAGGTAACTGTTGCGCTCAGAAAAGAAGTTGATTTGAGTGACCTCTCCTGAAAACATTGCAAATGACGTAAGGGTTCAAAAGGGAGGTACCTGTTGCGCTCAAAAATAATTGATTAGAGTGACCTTCCCTGATTACATTGCAAATGGCGTAAGCGTTCAAATGGAGGTAACTGTTGCGCTTAAAAAAAGAGTCGATTAGAGTGACCTCCCCTTATGACATTGCAAATGGCGTAAGGGTTCAAAGGGAGGTGACAGTTGCGCTAAAAAAATTCGATTAGAGTGATCGCCCCTGTAACATTGCTAATGGCGTAAGCGTTCAAAGAGAGATAACTGCTGCGCTTAAAAAAGAGTCAATTAGAATGACCTCCCCTGAAGACATTGCAAATGGCGTAAGGGTTTAAAGGGAGGTAACTGTTGCACCAAAAAAAGAGTCGATTAGAGTGACCTCCCCTGATGAAATTGCAAATGGTGAACGGGTTCAAAGGGAGGTAACTGTTGCACTCTAAAATAGTTTATTTGAGTGACCTCCCCTGATAACAGCACAAATGGCATAAGGGTTCAAAGGTAGGTAACTGTTGCACTGAAAAAAAGAGTTGATTCGAGTGACCTCCCCTGATAACATTGCAAATAGCGTTTATGTTCAAAATAGAGGTTACTAAGAGTCGGTAAGATTGGCCTCCCTGTAAATGACGTAAGGGTTCAAAAGAGAGGTTACTGTTGCGTTTTAAAAAAGAGTCAGTTAAAATGACCACCCTGATAACATTGTAAATGGCGTTAGTGTTCAAAAGGGAGGTTACTGTTGCTCTAAAATAGTTGGTTAGAGTGACATTATTAATATTTCGTAATCATAGTGTGTTTAAATTGTTCGATTTTTAAAATGTTAAATTAAATTTAAAAAAAATCACTAGAAATGTAGTAAGTGTCTTTATAAAGAGTGAAACAAAAATGAAATAAAAAAAAGAAACATAAAATAGAAGTAGAAATTTATAAGATCCAAATACATGTATATTTAAATGATCATACAAAAGACAGACAAGGTGTAAAAAGGGAGAAAAACAACAACAACATCATCATAGTACAGTCATTCCAGAAAAATATGTTGTTTTCCGAATTGAAAAATGAGTGAAAATCGATGATCACGAAAACAGGAGAAAACACTATTTTCATGACATAAAATGTGTTTACAGAGATGTTTGGAAATTTTACTCACCAAATACAACATACTTTAAAGTTGTGTTGATTTGAAAAAATATGCTACTTTTTCAAAGTAACGGAAGTTAAACTGCACAACCAGAAGATTTATGACGCATTTTCATGTTCAAGACTTTACTTATAAGATATAACGACTAAAAGCAAGTTTAAGAGCTCTTAGGTATTCAACTCACCTATTGTAGCTAGAAAACATGAAATGAAAATGAATTTAATAGAGGAATATTTCAAGCAAACAACTTCAATTTGATGTTTATTTTTTTCAATGGAAAACATTTGGTAAATTAACAATAAAATAAACTTCAATAACATTTATATTGTAGTCATCTTTGTTACCATATACAAACGCAACCATAAATGCAATGTTTGCTATTCTCATGCATATGGAAACTTAGTAAAGAAAAACATAATTTGCAGTAACGGAAGTTAACATTGTTTTGAACTTTGAACTATTAATTATAAAACATACATGTATGGTATATCAACTTTGTTTCCTACATTTTACAAATATAGATAAACATTATTTTCACCAAATTAAACCCTAAAACAACAACAAGCAACACAATTAAACAAATTCATCAAATTTCTACATTTCTACATACACCATATTTATATTCTCGTAGCATATATGCCTCACGTTTTTCTATTCCACAGGTATTCAAATTAAAGTATTTGCAACTAGTGTTTCACTTTCAGAAATTGAAATATACTGTTTTATGGGTTTTTTTTTTCAAATCATTTCTTACATTATTTCGCTTTAAATGCATTATTCAAATTATACTGTTAATGCACAATGCACTACTTAAGAATATTTTTTTTACTATTTAGGTGTGCGTACATGTACGTTTCTTAAACAAATCATCAATGAGCTCAACAACTGAGTTGTTTACTTCATACAACCTTTTAGTTTTCCCAGACGGCTGTGGATCTGGAACAACTGACAAAATATTTCGAACAGGTAGCCAGATCTCATCTTTTATGCTTGGCCATTTAAACCGATTTGTAACTTTACCAGCCTGTTGCATAAAGTTTATCTCTACCTCATCATCTTCAATGGCAGTAACTAATCCAACATACCATTTAGTATCATAAATCGCAGATACAAATGTTCCAACTTTAGGAACAACAATATGTTGCTCTCTAACGATACTAGATTCATCTTCTAGTTCCTGTTCTTTATTTGGTGCTTTCAAATCAAAATATCTCCAGCCCTCACATTTATTGTTTACGGTACTATTGATGCAGTTTTGACAATTACACGAAGTATCACGAACAGCAATGCGTGTGCGATTTATCGGAGCTACGGCATGAACTCTCATGGTACCAGGTACTACTTTCAAACCAGTTGTTTTACTCTGAATTTGCTGATGTGCTGTTTCATAATTGTCTTGTGTGACATAATAATAAATAACCTCACTAGTGATCTCAGTGGATTTTGCCCAAGCGAAAAAGTCATCTGCGCCTTGAATGACGGCCTTGCCTTGACGCACAGACATGTCAGCGGCTCTTTTTACGCTTCCGCCTAGGCCATCGCACGGGCCTTTGCCATGTCCTGCTTCTAGATAATCCCAAGTAGCTGACACGCCAAATTCGTCAGCATGGTCGCACACAAGCTGAAAAATTGCCTTGTTTCGGTATTGTGATGTAGGGG